GATGGAACTCGCTTTGCATGGAAAGTCATGCGTTCTTATACAGAGGGGAGGTGGAGAGGAACTTGCTTCGCTTGGAAAGTTGTGTACCCCTTGGCAGAGAGGAAGGTAGGCTGGAATTCGCTTTGCATGGAAAATCATGCGCCCCTTAGCAGGGAGGAAGTGGGATGGAACTCGCTTCGCGTGGAAAATCGTAAAATATATTTTAAAGCAGAGAATTTTTATTTTATATGATAGAGAAGGGATATTATTTCTTGAATTTTTTTGTTAATAACAAAGGATGAGCACTGATTAAAGTCATTTATGGTCATGATCTTGACAACATATGTCAAGGTCAAGGTCATTGGAAAGGGTTCCCCTAAGAGGGTTTTTCTAAACAGGATATTTATCAGAACAAGTAAAGAAAAAGGAATTAAATTTAAAGTCTTTCACGCGTACCTCTAAGTTAAACATTCCGTTTATATTATGTAATTTAAATTACAAAATGGTATTTATTTTAAATTAGGAAATATTTTTTCTAAATTAATTATTAAAAAAAAAATTCTACAAATGATTTTTATTTCTTTATGATTTGAAAATATAATATTAATTTTAGATAATTACGCGCTCTTGTTATTAGTAATATTAATTTTTTTAAATCATTATGCTATAGATTGTGGATCAAATATTAGTAGTCTAAATTACGGTATAATAACTAGTCCAAATTTCCCAAACAATTATGATGGACCGGCAAAAAACTTAGCTAGTAAAAGTTGCAACTGGTTTATAAGAGTTCGACCGGATCAGCGAATACTCTTAAACTTTGAAGTCTTCTCCGTAGAAGGTGATCAATTAGGTAATATATGGATTTATTATGAATTAATTTTATAATATTAGTATTATAACATAGATATATATTATTCTTAAGGTAGTATTCATGAATTGAAAATAGTCAGAATTTCTTGAAATTGAAACTGTATATTTTACTAGAAGACTTTGATATGCTTGTGCAACTATAAGCAGATTGAGCGTTTCAATATTGTCAAGGAAATACATTGAACTGTCGTCTTCTGATTTTGACAAGCTTGTAATATGCTGTTCTTTATGAGCTAACAAAGGGATAGACAAAAATAAGGGATATATATTTTTGTATACGTACTCATACGCACCTTTAGAGGGCGAAGCATCTATTCGAAAAAAATTAGTTTTTTTCTTTCAAAGAGAATATTTCCGAAACTATTAGGTGTTGAACTTAATTCCTGCCGTTTTTTTGTCTCCAAAATTGATTTGTTTCGAAGGGAAGATGAATAAATACCTTAATCAAAGTTCCTCCATTTTCTACTACTTTTTCCTATCTCTCTGGCAACAGGGCAATTCCACGACGGTAGAACGCGGTGTCTTTCGAGGCAATCCATTCATCCACCCATTTTTGGACTTCGTTGTAATTGGAGAAGTGTGTGTCCGTAAGTGTGTGTTGCATCGATCGGAAAAGATGATAATCCGACGGTGCCAAGTCTGGAGAGTACGCTGGATGCGGGAGAACTTTCCATTTAAGCTCTAGAAGTGCCTGCTTCACGCTTTTCGCGACATGCAGCAAAGAAGTCACAATAGTCAAACGATTCGAAATGGCATTTTCTGACAACTCATGTGGTAGCCATCTCCCTTCCTTATGGATCTTTCCCATGACATGCAAGCGTTTTGAGCCTTTGGAGTAACATTTAACTGTTTCGACAACTTTAAAAGCGTTTGAGCTGAATTCTCATCAAGCAATTCTTGCAGCTCGACATCTTCAAATTTTTTCGGCTGTCCTGGATGTTCTTTGTCTCTCACATCAAAATCACCGTTTCGGAAGCGTTCAAACCAAACTCTACATGTTCTTTCCGATAGAGTTTCATTACCATACACTTCGGATAATAAGCGATGCGCTTTAGCTGCGGTTTTCTTGAGGTCGAAGTAGTGAAGAAGCACATGTCGGAAAAACAGTTTATCGCGATTCATTTTCAATCGATTGGAAAATCTCTGGCGTCGAGAAATCTAACCTATGAGGATTGAATCACTTTCGGCGATGTCTAAACTACAAAAGACATATGACTTCATCGTTGAAACTCGCCAGCGTTGGAGCCAGCACCCTCTAGTAGCGAGCGGCAGGAATTAAGTTCAACACCTAATATAATAAAAAAAAAATATATATATATATATATATATATATATATACATATATAGGTTCCTCTCTACTGAAACTCAGTAGTATTTTGTAATGAGTTAACAGATCAAAATAAAAAGCTGTTTTTTTAATTCTGGAATAAATTTTCTTAAAAATAAATTCTTATACGGAGAAATTTTATTGTTCATTTTCGATTAATTTTTACATGAGAAACTTTTTTCTGTCATGCTATAATTTCTAATATAACTTTTCTAATACAACTTCTAACACAATTTCTCTAACATAACTTCTGTGTATTAATTTGCATATTAATACTTGTATTATTGTTTTTATTTTAATAATATCATATACTTAATACTCAAACTGTAATACATTATTAATTTTTTAAAAATTATTTTCAGCACGAGGTTGTCCTGCAGCCGTGTTACGCATGTGGTATTCTTCTACTCCTCGTGAGCTTTGTGGTGTCAAAGATCCTAATGCTAAATGGGATTATCTTTCGGAAGATCATAATATGCGACTCAGGTTTGTTACGCTTCATATGAACAATGGCCTAGTTTACACCGACGGTTCGATCCGGGTCAGAATGCAAGAATCAACCAACTGCAGTCGAGCATTCCCCTGTTACAGTCGAATGACAAGGGAATGCTCAACTGTAGTTGGTTCTTACGGGTGGCACCCAGTTGGACACGGCTCAATTGGACACGAGCCACTCACAGCGCTTGAGACTACAAAGCTCCTAAGCACCGGTCGCTGTGATTGGTGGTGTCCAATCGAGCCGTGATCAATCGGGATCACCCCGGTTCTTACATTCTGACTCGGATCGAACCCTCGGTGTAAACTAGGCCAATGAGACTTTCAGTAAGATACTCTTAATAACATGGTGAAATTATAAAAGGTGTGTCGTTGCGCATAATGGCAGCAGAGAGTGGGGGGGATATATTTTGTCAATCAATCACGTAGGGCCCATTCTATACGCGTGGAATTCAAACGTTCACAGTAGATTATTAATAAAAACAGTATTAGAAGTTAAAATAACAATGAAATCTTTATTTTAACCTATTAGAATATAAAATATTACAAACTGTAACAATATTATTGATTAGAAATACGATTGCATATATTTTTTATTTTTCTTTGTTTTCTTATTACATTATTTATTTTTATTTGCATATTTACATTGCGCAACCTAATATACGATCTGGTTCGCACCAAACATGCGATTACCTCCGTCGGAAATTTATACTCAAGTTTCAGACCTACTTTCGCAGTTAATGTATCAAAAATGTTGTCCTGCATGTTAAAAAAATCTCCGTGAAATAATTGAATTTCAGTATCCATGATTTTTTTGCTGCTTCCATGAAATCATTGGAAGGAACGATACAATTTCCACGCGAAATACATAAAATCCAGTCAGTTTTACACGATAATTGATCACACGGTCGATTTGTTATAATAACACGCTAAACACGCAGTGCCTCGAAATAAACACAGCCATATTGGATTTTAATCGAATGGGCCCCCCATGATTGGTTGTCCACTCCCCACTACTTTTAGCCTACTGCGCATCCACGGGAACGACACGCCTTCTATAATTCCACCATGCTTAATAAATTCTCACGTTATATTCGCAGTTTTATATCAGCTGATAAAGCAGTAGGACAACAAGGCTTTCGAGCTGTGTGGACTGAAGTGAGCACGAACACAGATTGCGAGAACCAGTTTCTATGCAGTAAAAGTAAATACTGCATCAACGAATCGCTACGGTGCAATAACATTGATAATTGTGGACCTGATGATTCGTCGGACGAGGAAAACTGTAAGTTTCGCTAACATTAGAATGCAACATGTAAAAGAAGCAAATATTTCGAAAAGCGATGTGATTCGGTAGTTTACTTTGCTTCCATTACAACTTATATTGTCTCTCTTCCTTTTTCTACTCTCTATAAGTATCAAACAATATTTTACTCTATTATTCAGTGTAATTTCCTGTGAATTGTTCAACAGATATATTCTACAAAGATTTTCACGTGTATTGTTTCTGTGTACCGTAATACCTTTTCAAGACAATCCTTTAACAATATTAATAATTTTTTATACATCTATGTCCTGATGCAAATTAACAGCACAAATACTCATTTATAATCAGCATGAATAATAATAAAGTATATATAATTTACATTAATCAAGTAAAACAACGCACTTTTTAATCACTTTATTAGGAACCCGTTCACTTACCACTATAATTTTAGATTGTAACGTCACAATAAAGATGAGAAAACGTAAAATAAAAATTCTTAAAAGTGTGTTATATTTAAATAGAAATATTTCTCAATAAAATAATATCTGCAATCGATAGAATACATTTACTAAATATACTGATAACCGACTTTCTTGCTTCGGAGAGAAATTAAATCATATTTACTTCTACATATTATTAATTTCACAATTTGTTATGACTATGAACATGTCTTATTTCATTTTTAAATATGCAGAATTCATTTACAGTTATACATATTAACAATACAAGGCAAATGAGAGCGCAGTAATTGGTGCGATTCAATCATAAAACAATTTGTGACAATTTCTTACATAGGTGTATTTAAGAAATTATGTTAAAAATCCGAACGTTTTGGCTAACATTTGGGACCATCCTCAGTGAAATACAAAAGGTTAGACACATGAAGATTTCCTTGCAAACTCACATAATAGATCGAGTGACCACTCAGATATAAATTTAAATCCCTTCAATTTGGTTTCATGCCAATGATGAATTGTAAAAATACAAATCCTAAGAGGGATTGAACTGAGAATGACCCCAAATGTTGGTCGAAACATTCGGATTTTTAACATAATTTCTTAAATAATACATCTATGTAAGAAATTGTCACAAATTGTTTTATGATTGAATCTGCGCACCAATTACCGCGCCTTACTCTCATTTGCTTTGTATTATTAATGTTTTTTTCAAATTTGAGAGTTATTACTAAGCTTTTATTTTAGTTATATGTATATTTATTTATTTACGAATAAAATAAAAGGAGAGTTTTCGGTACATTTTACAAATCAGTTCTATCGATTGTATTTTATTAAAACATGTTTTTCTATATTATACACTGCAAGAATTTCTTTGCCTCTAACGTCACAATCTGAAATAGTAATAGTAAGTGAACAGGAGCCTTAAATACGATTATCTCCTCCTCCTCCTTTTTCTTTCACATTTAAGAATAAATAGCTTAATTTAATATAAGTTATGCAACGTTTAAAAAATAAATAATAATGATAATGGCAATAATAAAATATATCAAGAATGTTATATGTATATATACACATATGCACAGAGTGGTCCATTTTAATCCATCCAATAGGGTATCAAAATCCTTAAGTTTAAGATAAAAATGTTTCAGACAAAAATTGTTCAGTTATAAGAGGGAAAGGGAATGGTGATTTTGGTTGACCTGAAGAAGATGTCTTTAAGGTCAGGTCAAGGTTATCTAAAATGTTTTTAATGCAATTGTATAGGGAAAACAGGGGCACCATAAGTCACAAAAATTAAAACTTTTAAAAGTGCATCTAGATATAAAAATTTTTGTATCATTTTTTTTAGTACTTAAAACATAATGCATATTTTAAAATTTAATAAGTATATTTAGTAAATGTTTATTCAAGTTTTTAAGAATAAAATAAATACATATTTTTTTAAGAAATGACCCATGGTGCTCCATACCCGGGATACCATAAGTCACATACAAAATAGTAGAATTATGCAAGAAATAACGATGACAAAAGTTGAAAAGTATTTTATTATTATTCAATTATTTATTTAAAAGTTTTTCAGTACATTAATATCCTTTTAATATGATATTGGATTGAACATCGAAATTATTATTAAAAATTTGCTTGTCAATTTAATTTAATTTGTGATATTATTCCAGCAGTTTAATGTTGTGCTAATGAGTACACACATAAAATATTGGTAACACTTTTTATTGTAACCTCCCCAGACAGCACACAATATTTACAAAATATTTAGAAATATTTATAAGATTTATTTTAAATATTTTGTAAATATTTTTGTGGTTTTAGATTACACAGATCATAAATATTTATTATAAATATTATGAAATACTTATTAGAATATCTTGACCTGACTTTAGCAACGCCACCCAAGATCAAACTGATAAGATCTGTAAATAGATCTTTTTATACTTTACAACTTTCGTCTGAAACATTTCTTTCAAAAACGTCATTCACCCGAGTAAATTCAGGATTCCGACCTTTTTTGAATACCCTGTATAGGAAACGAATACGAGTAGAGGATTAACATTTCATGTTAATATTTGCCAGGATAAGGTATAAAATATAATATGTCGCTTTGCTTGTCTTAGCGACGAGACACTACCGTATCCCGTGAACTATTAGTTTTTTGGCATCTCTATCTTAATATTTTTATATGCAGAATAATTAAAGAAATCATGTCATGTAAAAATATGTATATAATTAGATTTAACAAATTTTATGTAACCTTGACCAGACCTTAAAGGTATTAAAAAAGATCTTAAAATCAATATCTTCTTTCCTCCTTGTAATTGAGCAACTTTCGTCTGAAACTTTTATCTTCAACTTAAGAAAAAATTCTACTAGATGAATTAAAATGGACCATTCTGTGTATATTGTTGTACCGAAGGCTTTCGCCACTCGCTATCGTACACGGTACAGTGTGCACCAAAATTTCTCGCCGCTCGTTATCCGGAACAAGAAGAAAAATCTGTTTATGATTTCGAAATGGACAGCAGATACTACTGTCGCGTGATATTTTTTGATGTGTTAATAGTTTAATCGGTTTATGTATGAAATCGTGCCACCATAGCACGGTAAGTTTCTATGAAAAAAGAGAATGAATACATGTACTGGTCCCACTAGGGTGCTATTTTATTAGTGCGTTTTTGTCGCACGATAAATGTGTACAGAACTAAGAGGTCCTCGGATCTCTCTATCCCATAGCTGATAGCCAATCAACAGGCTTGAAAAATTTGTTGTACGACAAAAATGCACAAATGAAATATCTCTCCTATTTTTTTTTTTATGATGGCGGCACGTGCGTAGTACAGTGAAAAACTGGTACGAAATCATGGAAACATAGCATAAGGGAGTATCCATAAAAAATGGGAATGAGATGTTTGCATTGTTTGCACCAGCTTTTTACGATAGTCGCACGAGCGCAGTATATATTATAAAGCATCCTACTGCCGTGTGAGATTCGCTCGAAACCCGCGCGCTTTTTGCATGGACGCCTTGCGATCAATGAACAATAAGCTACGTCCCTTTTTGGAATTCTATAATTTATAGAAAAACCAGCAAGACACGCATGCCAAAATCGCACGGGTTTTGAAACGTTGAATTGCTACATTGCGAACATTGCAGTAACATCGCGAAATGTAGATTCAATGTTGAAGAGATGTTGCAGAAACGTTTAATATTCGTTATATTGCAACGGTTCACAAACGTTGCAGTTCAACATTGATTCAACATTGATTCAATGTATATACAACATACATTGTATAAGCATCCAGAAGCACGACCGCTCTTGCATCTGATTGGCATATTCCATTAGATCTAAAAATGTAGACCAAACAGGTACAAGAGCTCACTGAGCGTTCAGTGAGTGGTTGTGCTTCTGGATGCCTCTAGTAATTCCCCGGTAAAAAATTTTTCGCATATTAATTAATTCACATGTACGGTCTAAAATATGAATCTTATTGTTTAATTAATTGAGTTTTATTATTAAAATAAATATTATTGATTAACATCCCTAATAACAAAATGTTAGCAAATTCGATCAGATTTTGATTACAAAAGCATAGCCATCTGTGTTCGCATTTGACTATGGATTTGTTGACAAAGCCTGCATGTTTTGCCAACAGATTGCTAACAAAAACCAAGCAAAGCCTTCTGATATAACCTGACGCTAAATTGGTAGCAAAAACCGAGCAAGATCTGTCATTTTCATTTAAATCGACCTGATTTCTTATGAGAAATTTTGCATACATATACATATATACGGTTATATATAATTATACATAATTATATATTTATGTATACTGGTGTAAAAATTGGAAACAACCAATACAGTTTTATTGCTAAAATATTATTGATTAGCTTCACATTTCAAAAAAATACACATGAGAAAGTTATAAAATAGTAAAAAAAATATTTGGAGATTCAGAAAGCACACTCCGAAAGAGCTTTGGAATCTTTAGGAGATTTGCTTATTCGATTTACATTCGCTAATTCTTATAGGATTCCTGGGCGATTTCTTCTTACGAGAAGCAAATCTATCTCATGGCAATGCTATATATGAAAATGACAGATCTTGCTCGGTTTTTGCTCCCAATTTGCCGTCAAATTATGTCAGCAGGCTCTGTTCGGTTTCTGCTCGCAATCTGCTGTCAGGTTATGCAGCAGACTGTTCGGTTTCTGTCATCAATTTGCTGGCATAGCATGTCAGCAGGCTTTGTCATATTTTTGACAGCAGTTTACTGACAATGTCTGATAGTACAAACTCTGTGTTGCCTTTCTGTAATTAAAAATTGGTAGCAGGCTCTGCTCAAAATCTGTCTCAGCAGGCTTTGTTATCAGGGATCATATTTCGGAATACACACGACAAAATTATAATTGAAAAAACCGCTTTCCTCCTCATTTGAGAATTAATTTCCTTATTTTTCTAAGCAGTCATTCATCCAATCTTATGCCCCATCCAATGGTGTTGAACCTCTGCAATCGTACGGGAACTGCTATACTTCGATGATTTACGAACAT